AATAATAATAATAATAATAATAATAATAATAATAATAATAATAATAATAATAATAATTTATTAGCCCAACAGAAGTAATTCCATTTATAGAGCTAAATTACATTGAAATATCTACATAATATAATTATAAAAAACTCAATAACAACAGAAGAACAAAAAACAAAAAAAAGAATTGAATATACTTAACCTAAGACATGTTACTTGAAGTAAAGATGGACATCAATTACGATCATGGTTTACTATACTCATACATAACATTTTCACCGAATAATCGTTTATATCGCAAGTGTTACAGATATAATTAAATGTCTTGCACATAAAATAAACTGGGGATTTTAACAATAAATTTGTGCAAGCCCTTGGCAAATAAAAAGTTGCATGATTCCTCATCTCAGCACGTGATAGTGGAAAACTTAGTTACTCTAGTAAATCTGGGATATCGATTTTATTATGAATTAGATTATCAAGAAATTTTACCGACTGACAACGCCTGCGGGTTTCTAAAGCTTGGAAGTTAAACATATTTAATAACGTATCGTGATTGAAGCCCTGAGCCCGATATATACCAGTAGATTTAAAAGACAAGAATTTCAAAAAACGCCTTTGAACATTTTCAAGGGCATCAGAATGTAATTGGTAATAGGAATTCGAAATCAATGAGCAATACTAAAGCTTCGATCTAACCTAACATACGCATAATACGAAATTTCCAAAGCTTTGATATTAGTAAACGGACTATAAACCCGCTCATTTTCCTGGCATTTGATTGTATTTGATAAATGTGATCAACAAAACTCAAACGGGATTCAAAAAAAAACTCCTAAATCTTTAATAATTGTTTCCACAGATTGCAAACTATGATTATTAATTTTATATATATATTTCGCAAAATTAATCTTTCTGGTAAATGTAACCACTTTACACTTAGCAACGTTAAGTTCTAACCTATTTTTCTTACACCACAGTTCAATATTGGCCAGATCATTCTGCAAGATTAAGTTATCTGAGGTATCATCAATTAATTTTCCTATATATTTTCAAATCAGCGAAAATTAGATTTTCACATTTCAAGACAGAACAAATATCATTGATAAAAATTAGGAAGAGCAATGGGCCTAAATTGGATCCTTGGGGGACGCCTGATGCTGCAGTAAGTCGCTGAGATTTGTATCCAATAAATGTAACGAAATAGACTCCATCTTTAATATAAGATGAAAATAGGTCCAACAATGCAGGGCTAAAACCAATTCCTCCCAGCTTTTTCAACAGAATGCGATGATCTATTCGATCAAAAGCCTTAGATATGTCCGTGTAGAGAGTCCAAAATATTTGATAAATATTGAGTAAAAACTAGCATGTTACTTTGGGTAGATTTACCGGATAAAAATCCATATTGGGTAGATGAAAGCAAAGGTCTGATGGATGGAATAATACGGTTGTACAGGCACACTTCGAACACTTTGGCAAAATTTGACCACAAAGCTATAGGCCGATAATTATTAACCAATGAAATGTCACCATTTTTGAGTATTGGATAGACTCTAGCCATTTTCCAAAAATCAGGAAATATACAAGTTTTGATCGCTAGATTAAAAATCATCTGAAGAGGCAATGAAAATACATAAAACCGTCCCTAATTAAAAAAGCCTGAATCTGGTCCGGGCCGGAAGTAAATCTTGGTTTAAGTTTTCGGAAAGAAATTTAAATTTCTTGGATCTCAAAAGATGGTAAAGAAATTGTTTCGTTGTAATTAAAATTAATATCTGGTGTGAGGTCAACAAAGCTTTACGGTAAATAAACACCGTTGAAAAAATTTGCAAAAGCGTTTACAATATCCTCAGGCTGAGTATAAATTTGACCATTGTATTTGATGTCTCCCGGAATTCTAGTTGATTTTCTTTTTGTCGTTAGATATGACCAAAAGAGCTTAGAATCTTGAGGTAAAGCATTTTGAACACACAATATATAGTTGTCGTATGCTACNATGCCTCGAAGTTCATGTTATAGATTTTTTATCAGTGGCACTGAAGCGGAAATGTTTTAGTTGGAATAGATATAAAATCCATGCAATTTTTTTCGACAGATGTCAGCATTATACTTATAGGGTGCTTTTTAAGTGGAGGTCAAAAATTCAGGGATGTATTCTGTGGCAAAAATATTTTTGTAAATGATTGTGGGGTCTTAGGACAGCCATTGTCCAGTGAGGAGGTGGCGGAGGTGTGGGCATCATCGATCATATTTGCCAAAGAAATATATATCACCCTGTATAATATTACAAATAAAATAGGTCACAATATGCGCCATCGTATTATCTTCACTTTTTGCTCCTTTACACTTTTTTGTATTCCAAACCGATTAACAACAAAACTGATTTATTTGATCAAGTGCATTTTTACGATACTCCTTAAATTATTTAAAATAATAACAAAATAATTAATTAACAATGGAATTACTTTACTATGATTTATTATAACAAATGTTGGAAGTGGCCACTTTCAGCCAAAATACATGCTTCAGATTTTCTTGAAATTGCAGCTCCAACACGTACAAAAATTCCAGAAGTAGCTCTTATCACATCACAACCACAACAAACAAAAAAAATTAATAGGGTTAATATCGGGTGATTTGGGTGGCCAAGGTTGACCTGGTTTTTGAGTGGCCCCGTCCAACTAAAATGTGGAGGAGCCCCGTCGTGCATAACACATTATTTCTCTTAGTAGTATTTCTCTCAAGTAGTTCAGGTAAAACGTTTTCAAGAAAATGTCTGTGGGAGGTACTGGTTAAAGTTCTTGGTAAAAAGTAAGTCCCAACAAGAAAATTTCCAATAATACCCAAACATAGATTCAAAGAAACTGATGTTGAAATTGAGATTTCATTATGGCATGAGGGATTTCATCAGACCAAACGTATTGTGAAAGTTTATTATAGCATCTCTGGAAAAATTAGTTTCGTCGCTAAACAATATGCCAGCGGTAAAGTCAACATTTTGTACAATTTTTTGCAAAATCCAGTGGCAAACTTGTAAGCGAGCAGGATAGTCTTATGGCAGTAAAGCTTAGACCCTTTGTATGTGATATGGGTAAAACTGTTGATTCTTCAGAACGGATCAAATACTTTATGATTTACATTACGATTTGTTGATTGATCTTCCTAATACTAGTATTTGGGTCTTCTTCAATTTCTTGTAGGATAGCTTCTTCCAACTCAGGCGTTCTAACACATTTATAAACATTCTTGGATTTGGAGTTGGATGATTTGGAAATCTTTCCATATAAATTCGCCTAGCCTCACTACCATTTCCATCTGCAAGACCATAAATGTAAACCATATTGGCCATTTCAGCATTTACAGATACATATGCCATTATTAAAACTCAATCTTGATAAAAAATAAGCTTAATTTGACAATACAAATATTAAATAAATGATACCCACACCTCCGTCACTGGTAAGTTTCTAAAGCTGATAATTTTTTGTTTCATACCTACTGTCATAACAAATACGCACACCGGATTTGGTTAATTAGAAATTAAAATTAAAAACTGTTTTTTTATTTTAATTTTTGACACGCTGTAACTGGACAATGGCTGTCCTAAGACCCCACATTTATATAACAAACACCTTTATTTTTGGCCATAGAATACGCCTCTGAATATCAAAATATAAAATTAACAAAAAGATCGGTATTGGGAATTGAATTGCAACTTTAAAACTCTCAGTTTCAGGGTATAACTGATCTTTCTGTAGAAATTTATATGTTTGATCTTTGTTTATGTTTTCCTGATTGACCATGAAGCGGTTTGGTAACTAATTTATTTTCTTATGTTCCATTGAATGAAAATGGAAGACTGTTCTTGCGTCGATAGGTTTAGAGGTGTGCAATTTTTATCTATTTGTACTATGTAGTTAAAGGAGTTGGGGTGCAGTTTCCAATTTTTCCTTAATTGTGTTCTGGTTAATATGTTAATATTTCCTCAATATATTACACCAAAAGAGTGTATAAGGATTGGAACGGTGAAGGTGTTTCCCGACACGGAAATATAAGACGCATAAAATGAGTATATGATTTTAAAGCAAACTGTTTCAACCATATTCTAACTGGCACTGCAGGAATGACAAACTATGACCACAGACAAAATAGGTATCGCCACAGACCGCTACTGGAATAGGCCAGCAGTTTTAAATTTCCGAATTGCCGATAGAGAACACCACCAGCAGAATCTTAGGAAGAATCAAATGCAGCGGCCCGCATTCTTACGTGTATCCCAGCAACATACAAACAACGGTTTGGCAATGTTGTCACGTGTACTTACGGATTTATTTTGTACACATTTTTATCAATGCCTGTTTTTGGCGTTACTATATTTATTTAAATATAGATATTGATAAAAATATTTTAAAGAATGAACGAATAGGTGCCTAGGTAGTCAACATAGAAAATCGGATATTCTGCAGCGGTTATTTAATCATAATTTGGTTAATTAGCTACTATTTTAATTTTTTTGGTATTGAAATACTGTAGAAAATATATTTCCAAATAAACAAAATTCGGAATAATATTTTAAACAGCTTGTTAATATACATTTTTTAATATTTGATGATAAATTTATTTAATACACAAGGTGGATTATTATTAGTAAGTCGCGGAATGTAGGTACAGGATTTTTGTTTGTATTTTGACATCCACTTATAGGTTTAATAATTAAAGATAGAAAAAAAAACTAAATACAAATGTACGACTTTTCCTTTATTTCTTTGGACATCAAAATTTGCTGGCATAAAATATACGTTTAAAGTAAAAAATAATTTAAAAAAATTAAAATTCATCCTTATTGAAATAACACACAACGGTTTTTATAGCTAACCTTTACATCAACATATATAAGGTGGATATCTAAAAACGAAATAACATTAAAATACCTACAATTTTTACAAATTTTCAACATGCAAGTAATTGTGATGATACAGTTGAAAATATGCTTTAATTTACTATTTATTGCTTTAAAAACAAATTCAGAATTATCAAACATTTCGTCCTGTATTTTTTCTTTCAATAAGTACTTGTAAATTTTGAGGGCTTTAATAGTATATTTTGTTGAAGTGTCCCCACAAAAATATGTCTAAAGGACTGAGATCGGGGCTGTTTTTTGGGCACCTAAGAAGTATGCGACGTCATATAGCAAACAGGCCGTATAACTCGGAAACGGTGCGTTGAATCAAAAAAATAATTTAAAAAATCTCTCCCACACTCCAGGTTCTGATTGTCCCTTCTGCGTTAAATGCAAAACATCCGAAGTCCGTATGTGGAAAATAAATTTCGGAAACAAGAGATGTGTGAGGTGATACAGTAAAAAAGGTCTTATAACTCGGCAACGGTGCGTTGAATCGAAAAAATAATTAAAAAAATCCCCCCCTACACCCATGGTTCTGATTGTCCGTTCTGCGTTGAATGGAAAAGGTCCGAACTCCGCATGTCGAAAAACAAAAAAGTTAGTCAAAATTTTATCAAAATGTAAACTGTAAAGGATCATTGATTGATGATTCGTTGTTTTTTTTTTAAATAAATTCCGTATTCAATTACTTCTTAAGGGTCCAGCCATTTTACAATGTTAATTTTTTTTTAAACACCTTGTGTCACAAATATGAGCACTACCAATGGCATCCATGATATGCAACACTTGTAATAATTATTTTGCCTAATTAAAGATATCAGCAATAAGAGACCAGTACCCCCATCTAAGGATACACAACCTGTATCTTGCAATTTTTTTAAACATACCTAGGTGTTTTTATCGTACCAAAGTGGAAGTCGATGCACAAATCTAAAAACATTAATTTCAAGTTTTTGAGTTCTCGCATTCCAAGGTGATAAAATAAATAATTAATTAAGTAAATTCATAGTTTTAATTTTTAACTTGATTTATTTTATTCACAAATGTGATTTCCAAACAAAAGATAGGTTCCATATCACTTTAATTACATAATTGAATGCATCGAATTTATTTGGCAGTTATCATTTGGCAACAAAGCCACCTCTAGAACTGCCGCCTATTACCATGTAGAAGAGTTACCACGCTAAATTTTATAGCTGGAAGCCGGCTAAGGAGACCCTGCATCCATTTTAGGCTGCCAATTTCCATAATTTAATACGCAGTCTGTGGCGATAAGCTATATTGTCTGTGCTATGACCTTTAGTTAGAAACAGACAGCTCAATGCAAATCAAATTTATATTCCTTGTTTCCCATTTTAGACAATTGCCTATTTTAACTCAAATGACTCTATTTTTTAAACACTCATACCTAAGGCATTTCTTTGGGTAGTAAATACTAATTTCTATGATACTTATTTTTCAATCCGCCATTTTAGAATTTCCTAATTAAAACCTTATATTCGTGATTGACGGCTTTGAAAACCACCAAGTAACAAGTTTCAGCCATATGCTTCAAATTTTGAATGCTTTTCCGATTTTTTACCTCCGCCATTTTGGATCCGCTAGCTTTTATTCAGGAATTTTCATGTTCGGACTTCAGATTCGTAATCAGCGACCCCAAAAACATACGGTAACAAAATTCAGGCAAAAATATTGAATAGAAAAATGTGTGACTTAAAGGAGTTAGTTAGACCCTGATCTGTAATTGGTTTCTAACCAAAGTATTTTATAAATTGTTTCTTTTCATTATAAAACTTCACCTTCCTCACTATTTCATCCTATTTTAGGGGATATTTTAGCGTTATACTAAAAAATGCAGCTAAAAGTACACACCATTTATGTACCTCCTCATATCTCTGATACAGAACCTTTTTTTTTGTGAGGCTGTTATTGTTGTTCTCAATAGAAAAATTTAATTTAAAATTGCAATATTTTAAAAAGAGTCCTTGTCCTAGAAAAAATAAGAACAAAGGTTCATACAAAAAAAGGAAAGAAAAAATTAAAAATGTACAGAAAAATGTTTCCAATTGCAGAGTAAGAAGATTCCATATGCAGCTTTCGAGTCAAATTGGGTTACTGCTTCAAAAGGCTATAAGAAAAATTTATTGATTTTCATATGTAGAACTCAAACACCGATTAAACTATATGCAGTCGACTTCTTCGAACTGTCTTTGAATATATTTATTAGTGTAAGTATATTTATTATTATACAGGGTGTGTCCAGAAATGTTTAATTTCGATATACAGAGTATAGAGTTTTTCTGCGAAATACTGTTTTTCTTTATAATTTCTGTAATCGTTACCACAAAAAAGAAAAATAAATAGATAATAAATTTTACGAAGAACAATCGATTCTTATAATGAGATGGGATTTTATTTTTCTAACGTTACTACTATTTATGACGTTATCTACATTTATTCCGTTCCTCTATATCTAATTTAGTTTTTTTAAGAGAATTTTAACCTTGTGTTTCCAAAAGTGTTTGACCAACATTTTTTTCTTAAATTGGTTTACTTTCTCTGCCAAGTATTTAAACCCTATAAAGTAGTTACATTGCTTTTTTTTGTGTAAGCTAAAATTATTCAGTAAATACCTACTTAATAAAATTTCATAAAAGTTGATGGGTAATTTTCCAAATCCGGGAGCAACAGAGCAACATCAGTAGTTAAACTAAACCATATTTTTTTCAGATATTGCGAACGGCATACTCCTACTACATGTTACTTAGGCAACTTTCGGCAGATGAGTAATTACTAATGAAATTTGTTATGTATTATATTTAATTTAATAGTTTCAGTTAATAATTGCACACAAATTATAACATTGATAAAAGTAGAGTGTACGATTAATCATAAATGATTTTTTTCATCATAGTACAATATAATGTATGTATTCCTAATACTAGCCATACATGACAGAGGAAGAGAAAATAAAAACAGTGGCGGCTGTTGACTTCCGTACCACGGAGGGCGGAAAAATTTAGGTGAAAAGTATAGAAAAAAAATTTAATATATGTGGGTACTTTTATTTTAAGTATTATGTATTGAAATATAAAAAAAATGTATTCAACATAATTTTTTATAATGAAAGTCCGTTCTTCTACTTTTGTCCGAAATAAACTTTTCAATTATTTTCCCATTAAAGTTTAGTATTTCTGTCATCATTGATTTTTCAATAGTCGACATTACTGTTAGTTTGTCTTTACAATCAATTTAAACTTTTACAATATGAGGATTGCTTTCGTTGTACAGCGAAAATAAAACGCTCTCTCAACGGTAATAATAAAGTATTTTATTGAAAACTAAGTTGTATAGAAAAAGACGTGTTGACGGTTTGAGTGTTTGTTGGAGAGTCTCTGTGTGTGGAGTCGGTCGTAGGTATATGAGTACGCATCTGGTCCCCGGCGGCGCCAGTCGGCTGTAGACCCTTCCTGGAACGCTGGTGCGTCCGGTGGCGTCCTGCTGGCGCTCTTGACGTAATGCTTAAAAATGGATCACTTGCGAACATGTGTACCCACAAATATTTTTAAAAACACACATGAAGCAATACGTAAGTAACAAATTACGTTTAATAAGAAAAAAATCCGTGAATAGCTATTATTTGGTTATGGTCGGACCAAACAGAGCCCAAACTGCATAGTAAAAATGCGCCACTCCTACTCCTTCTTTCAATGCTGCGCAACGGTAACCATGGCCACCGCTGTAAACACTTGACAAGTGTAGCGGAGTTTTTCAAAGAATTTTGCAAGTCGAGTTGAATTGGCTGCACATTACAAATTTAACACTTTTTAATGTGTTTCATAATGCTGATCTATTTAATTATCCAGATAACATTGTAAACTAATTTTTTTTACTATGAAAATTTTTAGGGAGGGCGCCGCCCCAGAGCCCCCCCGTACCAACCACCTCTGAATAAGAATCTAAAAATTTACAGTAGATGAAATCAATTTACTCGTGGATTTAATAGAAAAATGTAAATTTGTTAAATTTAAGTTGGCAAGGATATGTTCTTTCCTTGTAGAACAAAAAAAAACAAGTTTTGTTAATACCTGAGTAGGAATACTTATTTATTTGTAGCATATTTTATATATTTATTTTCTTTTCTTATATATTTGCAATTATACATATATTTTTTTAGCTATAATAAAATCTTGAATCAAAAATATCAATGAAGGGCTAGTATTATACTGAAATATCATAAAATAAAAGTATGTAGTTACACTTCTTATATAATATTGTAGTTATGTAACAATCCACTAAAAATTAGTCAGCATTTTGAAAAACAGATTTGTTGTTTATATGTCACAACTTAACTGAACCTTAAACTGTTCATTATTTCACAGAAATTAAATTACCTAATAGTTTTAGTGTACAATAAATATTACAAAGCATAATCTTCACCAAAATAAAAACTTTTTTACTTACCTTGTTGTTTTATTTAACTTGAACATTTCTCAGAATGTTATATTTATAAATATCAGAATTTTGAATAAAATGCATTCATTTTAGGATATACAGGGTGTTTGTAAATAAGTGGGAAGTATTATAGGGGGTGGTTGCCGAAATTATTTTGTGAAAAAAGTTCATATAAATGTAGGTCGAAATATGCTTCGTTTCGGAGATACAGAGCGTTTAAGTTTTATTTTTTTATTTATTTTTATTAATTACTTCAAAGAGTTTTAAAGATATTGACTCGAAATTTGATTGTTGTATTTTCTTTAGAAATATTGACAGCAACCTACTAGATAATGTATAAATGGAAATTAAAAATACACAACTTTCAATAAAACACCTCAGAAATTAATGATTTTAGCCATAGGGAATGCTTTATAAAAATGAAAGAACATAAAGTGTATTTTCAGTTTTTAAAATAAAATACTACGTGGTTCATTTAAAAAAATACTTTCTCGTAAAACTGTACCAATATCAAAGTTATTAATGCAAAAAATTATTGTCTAGTTGTTCTGTTTAGGGTATACAGGACGCTGAAATGGGATTGATTTTCGTATACAATTGACCATAATTTTGAAATACCCTAATTATAGCCTATATTGGAAGCCTGGGAAAGATGAGCTTAATCTAAATTTGAAATAATATATAGGGTGTCCCAGTTAAAAAAATATTATGTTAGGCTCACCCTGGTAATACGTAACACTCTGTATATACGAAAATAATTTTAAAATGTGCAGTTTTAAGTTGGCTACAATTTTTGTAAATAACTTTTTTTATATCTTCTAATGTATAATAAAGGAGATATCGCACTTCGACGCACTAATGCCGCACCCTGTATGTAGACTGCATTTATAAAGAAAAAATAGATGTTTTGAATCAAAAATACATTTATTTGCTTAACTTAAATAAGTATTTTCTTGACAAAAGAGAAAAGTAAATTCAGATAATGGAATGCTAGTACATAAACGTATATTTGATTATAGATAATAAACGAACAGAATCGACCCGATGACAATTTTCATAGGGAAAAGTGGGCAGTCGCACTTATATCATCAAATGTAATTTTTTACTCTAATTTTTGAAATGTATAAACCAAATAAATACGAAGATTATAATTTTATTTATTAAAACTTAAAATTACGTTTTGTAAATCATAAAGTATAACATAACATCAAGCTGCCCATTTCGTTATTGACTGAAATGAATTGGAAGTATAATAGCAAATACAGTAGCCTAGATCTATTGCTAGCTTATCTGTGGATGAATAATATATTTTATACCACTGTAGCTCTTTTGTACCTAATTTGAGATAAAAGGAATCCTACCATTGGGAACCGTCGTAATCGGTTTAATTAGTGCTACACATAGACTTTAAATTAGGTACTTACCAAGGAAGATGGGATATCAATATGATGGCAGATTTCTGTTGGACACAGACAGAAGAGAAACAAAAACCCGTTGCATAGGTCATTCGAAGAAAAAAGAGTTCGCTACAAGAGCAGAAAAGTGTAATAGCAACATAAAATCAGCCTGGTCGAGTCAGTCGCATTTATTTCGAAATAATTCATGTCTGACATTTATTCAATACTTTTTTGGGATTCACGATTCCCATTTTTCTGCGATATTTTGCAATTTTTGTAAAATTTTTGAGTAATGAGGCTCAACAGACTTTAGATTCAAATTCGACTCGACAAAATTTATGAGAAGAATTGATCCAATCTAGAAAACCGCTTTCTAATTTTTTTCACTCTCATTGATATGATTTTTTGTCCTTTGCAACTGTCTTTTTGCGTTTTTTTTACGAAATCTGTAGGGGAATACAGCTAATAGACTTCAGTCTCGAATTCAACGTATCAAAATACATAAGAAACATACTTGATCAAGGTTAAAACAATTTTTCGAATTTTTTTTGCGTTCGCTAACGTGATTTTTGGCGATTTTTCTTAATTTTTGTCATCGGAGGAAGCGTTTGGTTTTTCTTATCTTTTTTTTTTATACGGAACGTCTCAATATTTTAGATTAGTATTACCTCAGACTTTTTAGATCAAAATAAGATGGTTTAACTACTAAACTTACCTCTGTTCACTTGCTTTGTTTTGCCATTAGGGGCGTCAAAGTTGTACAAAAACAGTTTTTGAGAATTTTAAATACAACATAATATGTTAGAAGTCTAAAAAATCATTACAAAGAAATTTCGATATTTATTTTGATATATTTTTTAAGAAGTTGCACGATTAGGAAATTAAAAATCTCTTCCTTTCTTTTTTGTTTCTAAAATTCCTGCTGCACCAGAATTGTAGGTCATTATTTCATTTATCGATTCTTTGTCTCTCCTTGTTCCAAAGTATCACGTACAATTCATTTTCCTTAAAATTGTATTCAATCTACAAACCTCACTTTTTCTTATATCTTTTACTATATCTTTTACTATAATTTTTATTATTTGTTTATTCATAATCATATTATAATCATCATCCATTATTTGTTTCAATTTAGCTTTATTTATAATTATTACTTAGTTGTAGAAAAGTATTCCTATTTTTATTGTAGAGTAAGTATGCAAATTCCATATGCAGCTTTTGAGTCAGACTGGGTCACTGCTTCGAAAGGATATAAAAAAGACATTGATTTTTGTATATAGAACTCAAGAGCCGATAAGGATATATGCAATTAACAAACATCTTTAAATTATCTTTAAATAAGTTTGTTGAAGTAAGTATATTTATTGTTCTAGGATGTTTCTAGACTGTAATCTGTTCTTGGAATTATCTGAATTACATACTAAATTAATGACAATTACGAAGTTCTTCAGGAATTAATTCATACATTTGTTCGTAAAGGTTTTGACACTGATCCAAACTTTGTGAATTTCTTTGAAACAGAAACAGTTACTACGAAGTCATAGTAAATAAAAACAAATAGAAATTGAATGCATTTTCTTAAATAAGTTTAAAATTGTTATTTACCACTGGATAACATGAATATAAAAAAATATAATCCTACTTTGGCAGTTCAAATATCAATATTTACGAAATTATGCTGAACAAATAACATTGGGCCTAGTTATTTGTTGGTACTTCTGAACTTGACGAAGAAATTGACGAATATTTAAACATATTCTAATTCAAGTTTCCAGTTATTTTACAACAGATTTGGGCATTACACTTGAACAATTTCTTCATGACGCGATTTCTTCATGAAGAAATTCGCAATGTAAAACAGCTATAACAAATAGTATTTAAAAGGTAGATACATTATTTTTATCAAAACATTGCACAAACTACATATGTATAGTGGTCTACAAGTTGACGGAACACCCTGTACATTCATTGCTTATGCTCTTCTGAGGTTTA